GCATACAACGTCTGAAACATTGTGATAAACATGGTGACAAAGATGAGGTCAATAGTCTGAATAATGTAAATAGTGTACATAATACATCATCTCAGAAATATAGACAGATAATGAAGGGCTGGAACGTTGTAATAAATATGGCAACAAAGATAAGGACAATAGTCCGAATAATGTAAATAGTGAAAAACAAAACTGTTCATAAATAGGGAGTTTAATGCTACCTTAAATATTTTTGAATGTCATTGCACATTTGAAGCTGAATCTTCAAGTAGCAATGGGGAAAACTTTCATTAAACTTTTATTACTGAAAAAGATATTCCATCCTTAGTTTTGACCATCCCATGAAATACTGCATCGCACAACTCAGATAATGTAACAAATAAGATTTACTGACTTCAGCAATGCCAAACTCTTAGATTATGCAGTTTGTGACAGGCATTAGATTAGACTATTCCTACTTTGAATCTGATCACACAGATTTACTTGTAAACTGATAACATCAGCCAACAAAATAGCTCTCTTCTACCCACATAAACTCGGAGAAACATCTAGCCCTTAAAATTGAAAAGGTAAATTTAGAATTCAGTAATAAATGAAAGTCCAAATTAATGTTATTTGATATTGATCAAAATATCAGATGCTTTTAACTTGAATCCTTTTTCATTTTGATGCTGGATAATCAGTGAAATATTTCAAAGGAAAATAATTCTAAATTGTCCAATATATTTTATAGACATATATATATACATACATATATATATATATATATATATATATATATATATATATATATTTTTATAGAAATACATATATGCTAGCTGTCAACTGATTATCTGTGTATGAGCATTGGTGATAAGTTTGATGAATGTTTTTAGTTCTCATGAGAATGACAATGGTTCTTGAAGCCATCAAGTGGCTTGCAATGCTTATTGCAAGTATGGCAAACTAAGGTGTTCTGTACAGGGCCTGACATGTTTTTTAAACTCTCTTCACCTTGTTATGGGTTTTCATGTGACAAGTTACAGTTTCTGCAGGATTTTTTTGATACATGCTAGCTTATTTCCAGTGTAGTAGTGATTGTAATTTGAAGTTGTATAAAGACACACACACACACACACACACACACACACACACATATATATATATATATATATATATATATATATATATATATATATATATATACATTTTATTTGTTAATGATGTGTTGGGTGATGTGTGCATAAATCATATAAGTTTCAATATGTGACAAGTCAATTTCGAGAAAGTGTGGTGCATATCTGTCCAATGTAAGTATTTAATGCTGTTTTTTGATCATTAGAATTGGCAATGTAACCTCCCTGGGGTCATAAGAATTCAGAGATGACATTATCTTTACATAGGGGAATTATGATGCTCAGTGTTTATTGGTGATAATTAAGTTAGTTTTTATAAAATGTAACTATCAACATAAGACAAATATTAATTGACAACACCAAAATACTTTATAGTACCAGTTGCAAGGAAAGACACAAAATACTAGAAGTTATTATTATACAAAATAAATAGTCCATATTAAATAAGATATCATTCTCCATAGTAGAAGTGGTATCTTGAAAGGCATATGATATAATTAATGTGTACACATATTATATTAGTATTAAAAATAAACTAATAAATTAATTGAGAAAATAAATAAATCACATTCTTTTTATACTGACTCATTCACAAAGCAGTTACACATGATGTCATGTTAGACTATTTCAAATGTTTAGTGTCCTAAATAATACCAAGATGCAAATAAAGAAGTTAAAACTAATACACAGAGACTATATCGGTTCATGATAAGGACTGTGAAAAGGAAAAGTACTTCAACAAAAATAACAAAATACGAACTTTACCTACAACTTCAAACATATTCAACACATCCAAAAATTGGAAAAATATAATAAAAAATTTTTCAGTTCATTTTAATCAAAAAATTTGCTTGCATATATATATATATATATATATATATATGTATTTGTTTGTATATATATATATATATATATATATATATATATATATATATATATTCATCACTTAATAAGACACCAGAAGTGTTGAAACAAAATGACTATTTTTGTAGTGATTTTATAACATATCTATGTTATAATTTTTGAATAAATAATTATATATATATATATATATATATATATATATATACATATTTTTCTGGTTTAGAAGATGCACTATTTCTTACTGAAAAATTTTCCTGAAAAATACGTATGTGTCTTCCAAGATGAATATAAGACAACACCCAGACTCAAGTAAGCTTGGACAGTCACTTAATTGGCTTGACTAATAGGGATATAGATTTGTATGTTGAGTCATTACATTATAATGTTACCTATCTAATTCAGCTTTTTACATGATATAACCTCAGTACTTAGCTGCTACATGTATATCCAAGACTATAAACCTTCCTGGAGCTGAGCCACAAGCTTAAACATGATCTGTTTACTAGCAGCAGCAGGATCCTTTCTGCTCTTGAATAGTATGTCATTGCCATACAAACAAAATCGGACGAGTGATTAATGTAAACAATACGTGACACCATGGTGAATGTCTTGTCATATGAGAAAAACATTTTTTTCCTTAGAAATTTCTTTCCAATATTAGGGTGTGTCTTCCAAGCTGCAATGTCTTGTAAGCAGGGAAATATGGTATATATATATATATATCTGTTCAAGATTTCAAATCAGTTCTCTAGTGAGTGCAGTTGTCAATTTGTGTCACTAATTAAAAAAAAAAAATGTGTCATATGGGTATGAGTATATATATATTTGTATATGTGGTGCTTCCCTTTAGAAATGGCTAAATATATGATATGAAGTGTTATGGTTATTCAATGAATTATTCAAACTAGTATTCTTGCCTTTGTTTTATTACAGTTTATTAACTGGTGGGCTCCCTGAACTTCCTCAAGTACACATCCTATAGTCCTCCAACAACTAAAACTTAACTGTTGCTTAACCCATGAAAAAAGATTAGTTGCAAATATATATTTGAGGGAGTTGCTAAAAACACAAAGGTAAAAAATGGTTTTATACTAATCTTGTGACCTTGATAAAGATTTATTAAATATTCCAATGACAATAATTTCATTGATATTTTCTTTATTTCAGAAATCTATGAAGAGTTACTGGAAAACTTCCCAGAATGTATTTGATGTGATTTTACATATAAACAGAAACACACTTCCAATTAATATTCATTTGTACAAAACCTACCAAGTCAGTTTGCCAAAAAGCTTTCTGCTACATTAGGGTTCTGTTATTATGTGAGATTCTGTAAACTTATGTTGGAACGAATCTTTATAATGGTTGCAAATTTGTACAATATGCCCAATCAGTTAAAAATGTTTTATTAGATTTTAGCAGAGTTTCCCTAGTAGCAAGAGAAGGTGCGCACGACACATGTGTCTTTCCTGGTCTGTGACCAATTACAAAAAAAAAAAAAAAAAAAAAAAAAAAATTTAAAAAATGTGGAAAACAAGAACAAAAATTGTAAACTCTACCATGTAGATCAAAATCGAACAATCAATATTTATTGGCATAACTACCTTTTTTTTCGAGCCTCTCTTGGGAGATTTCCAGTACTATCTCATAAAATTCAATCTTTCTATCCAACAAACAGACATGTGTGCACATGCACACACAACATAAAACACACACACATACACGCACAAACACATGCACACATATATGTGTATTTGTTAGATTCTCATTTCTAAAAGGTTAAACAAATCTCACAAAAAGTCGTATAAATACAAAAAATACTGAAATCAGCAAAATTATGATAAAAATTTGGATTATTAAGAAAATAATTAATAAAGAAAGAATATATAGAAATATATATTAACTTCTTATTAATATTATGAAATTAACTTGTATATACATATATGTATATGGGATAATGATATATACATTATTTTATATATCAAGAATAATTTCAGGGAAAAAAGTATGACGAGTTAGAAAAACATTCTGTGATGCGTTTCATCTTTTATGACTTTCAGCAAACTAAAGTTTTTCAATATTAGTCTGATTAGATTTTAAAGGATAAAATGCATCACACAAAAAAATTTCCACTTTTTGATACTTCTTTCTACTAAATATATGTATATTTATATATATAGTATATATAAAATATATAGTATATGTAAAATATATTTAATATATATTATATATATATGTATCTGGGCACACACATATATATATATATATATATATATATATATATATATATATATATATATATATATATATGCATACACACACATCTGAGTTTCAAATAGATGGTGGGTTGGTTAGGATAGAATAGGTGGCTTGAAATTTTAATAATTTTTTTAATAATTTTCAGTAATGTAATACTTATTCTAAAAATGTTTACAGTCTAAATGAAGGTAAAGAATAAAAATACCTGAATATTCAATAAAAGGGTATTTTGGAAAAAGGATGACGTGGGTGATTTTTTACACCAAAAAGAATAATTATTCTGGCCCGTCTCTTTGAAACTCCAAGTTATATATGCAAATAAATATACACATTTGTAAAATATATTTAATATAAATATGTGTGTGTGTTTGTATATATATATATATATATATATATATGTATATATACACATATCTATATATATATATATATACACACACATATATATATATATATATATATATATATATATATATATATATATATATGTAAAATATATTTTGGTATGATTAATGACTTTTAATCATTCATGAACATTATAAAAACAATTTCTGGAACTGATAACAAGTCACCATAGCTGAGTAGTTAAAAGTATTATTTCCCCAACAAATTCAGTGCATTTATGGGTGGATGGATGTGTGTTGAAACAACCCGGGTATCTTGAAATAATTTTGCTTTCCTACATAAACATTTATGAGTTAATCTGACTCATTCCCTAATTAATCAAGACAATTAGTAATAAATTAGATGCGACGACAATATTTACAGCATTAGCCACATTGTAAGGCACAAGTTTAGCAATATCACAGACTCTGACAAGGCGGAGGTGTTGCTACCTTCGCAGGATCCGTCGGGGTTGTCTTCATCATAACTGTTTAAGCCCGTTGCGCACTGACACTGGTATGATCCAATGGTATTCACGCATATTGTGTTCTCACGGCACAGGTGTCCATTCTTACCACCCACAGTGGCACATTCATCAATATCTGGAAAGAAATCAAAAGCATATAAAATTTTTTTTTTGAACAATTTAAAAAAATCCGAGAAAAATGTATATAAAAAAAAAAGGAATGAAAATAAGGATCAAAGTATATTAATATAAAAGAAAAATGAAAAAATTAAAAGTATTAAATGAAATGCTGGATTAAAAACTGTTAATGTAATTTACCCATGCACGTATGGACACTCCCAGCTATAAATAGGAGCAGGTACTGCCTTTTGAGAGAGGGAAGTTTCCAGCAGTCAGCTCTGACAGACAAACTGAAAATTTGGACAATTTTCCTGTTACACCTAGTATATATATATATATATATATATATATGTGTGTGTGTGTGTATATATATATATAATAAAAAGGCTTAAACACTAATATTTCATGATCATAATTTATTCCATTGGAATTGTAAATATGATCCAATTCATCAGGCCTACAAATTCAAAAAGAAAACAGAAAAAACAACTCCAGGAATAAAAAATAAAATTTAGTGGAAGTGTATGTATGAGAGTGTGGGATGAATGTTAGAATGTTAAAACTACTCCTCAAAAATGTTTAAAAATAATACGTGAATTTAACGCCATTTTTTATGCTTGAAATGTGATCTGAGGAACCATGAAGAAATCACTTTCCTGTGGAAATAAAATATAATCAATCGACCCTTAAGCTTGTCTGTTTTCTAATTAAGTTAAATTAAAATTTATATATATATATATACATATATATATATATATATGTTTGTGTGTGTGTGTGCATTCAGTACCGGGCAGAAAGTAATGCTTTTGCAGGTTAATCTTGCAGGTAATTGCAAAAGAGTTTGATCCTTAGTGGGTGCCCCACCACTGTGCAGTCTTTCTACACTGACAAAGCAAAAATATGCAGATTGTTTTAATAAATGTTTGAGTGGTTTACCCCAGAATCTCAAGTGTTGAAAATAAATGACACACCATGGAGTGAAAAGAATAAAAAAAAAATTACTAAGAGCTACAAAAGAACAGGAAGTTGGGGAGAACCATGATTTCCCATGACCTGAAGACTTCTGCAACAAGGTAGAAAGTTGATTTGATTATATTTTATATAGAAAAACAAAAGAACAATAAAATTCTCGGCTGAGCACAGGTTACATTCAGATTAATTTTGACTTGGTTTACTGAGAGAGCAATGAAAATGCAGGAAAATTCTGGTACCTACCTTGGCAAAATTTGCCATCCACACCATCAAACCCTGATTTGCATAGGCAGGCATATCTTGTGTCCAGATTTTTGCACGTGGCATTTGCATGGCATTCATGACCCAGAGCACAAAAGTTGGTTCCTAGAAAGAAATTACAAATCTTGTTAGGAATTTTTTTACACAAAAGACTGAAAATATTTCAATAATATTAAGTTTATAAGAATATCCTATTGTAGTTCTGACATGATTATTTTCTTACCATTATTTTTTATTACCATTACCATTTGCAATATCTAAACATTATATCAGCTGTATATCAATGGTTAAAAATGGCTTTGAGCAAGTGAAGTCTGTGAGCATTGGCAAAGACCATCATTCTTTGAACCTTGTGGACTGGTGCTATGGAATGCTAAGCAAAGAATGGTGCCAAATAACAAAACCACATCAAATGAGAACTTTTAACAGCAGCAACATTTAAAATGGATATCATGTGTAACATGAAGTAAAAAATAATGACATAATCAAGATGCTGACATTCCACACTATTTCAAACAAAAGGTTAGAAAGGAAACCCTCATCAATCCTGAAAAGAGTGATATCAACCATTGGCCTTGACGAACTCATCTTCATGAAAAATTGTTTTAAGAGAAAGCTTTTATAAATTCCAAGTGACAAAAGTATTGCCTGTTTGCTCAATTTATACTGAATATCTCCTTATAAAGAAACAGCTGATATTACCATTTGCAAAAAATGAAGTAAAATTTAATGACTAAATTGCTGCATATATATATATATATATATATATATATATATATATATACATATATATATATATATATATATATATATATATATATATATATATATATATATATATATATATACATATATATATATATATATATATATATATATATATATATATATAGGTTAGTGTATTTGCAGCCATCTATCGATCTCAGTCCATTTGCATCTATCACATTTACATCTCTCTCTCTCTCTGTCTCTCTCTCTCTGTCTCTCTGTCTCTGTCTCTCTCTCTCTCTCTCTCTATATATATATATATATATATATATCATCGATGCATGAATTGGACTCATACATGAATCAATAGATAAGATAAGAAATAAATACTTTGCAAAAACTTCTATAAATTTAAGATATTTGAGCTTCATTAAAATTCTGAAGATTAAAAAGTGAAATGTTAAATTTATTAATGTTTCCTATTTACACCTGATCTTATATATATATATATATATATATATATATATATAAATATATATATACATTTCATTGAATACGACAGACAATGTGCTTTGATTTAGATTTTTATACAATTTCTCATGTGATCTAATAATTTTTTCTTTTCAGGTGATAAATTATATAAAAACTGTCCAAATGTTTTTTTTTTATCCAATTGCTTTCAGCTATACATTTAGCCATTTTCAAGGTTAAAATAAATTATCTGTTAACAAGAAATAGTATATGGCATGTATGTATTTATATAATGTTTTCATTTTCAAAACATGGTCAAGATATTGTGTCCATGTTCATATAAATACATTATATGAATACACAAAAAAGTACTGTGGATGATGTAATAAAGATAGAGGTTTTTGAAAGTATTTTCTATGTATATTTCTTCTCTGGGTAAGTATTAGTGGCTGCAGATTCTTAGTGCTCTTAAATAGAATACTATAACTATTTCAGATTTTATCTTGATACAATGGTGGGAATAAAAATTGATAAGGTCATCCACAAAACATAATTTTACCTGATCTTATCAATAAACTTTATAATGTTGAATCCACAACAGACTCTACCTTTGAATATGAGTCTAACAGCACTTTACCATTCCTATGTATCATGCTGAAGAGAAATAATAACAAACTTCAGTTGGAGGTTTACAGAAAATCTACCAACAAGAATGACCTTATAAATTTTTATTCCTACCAATGTAACAGGATCAATCTACAAGAAGTACTATTTTTTAGAATTGAGAAATAAAATCTTTTTGAAATATTTTTTTAAGATTATGCTATTTAATTTCTAATTTGATTATTTACTTACACCCAGACCCAATCATTTTATGTGTTCTGCACATTATTCTGAATTTGGATTAAATTAAAATGGCATTATGATCCTATCTGAAGTAAGTTCTTTATTTATTTCAATGCAAACCAGTTCAACTGGTAATGCTACTAAAACCAATGCACGTGTTTTGTAGAATATTGTGCATAGTTTCCAAAACTATAATCCCAAGGATTTTTCTTTTTGAAACATAAATTCCATTCAAAAGAAAATAAACCACCATTAAATAGATATTCCTAAGGGACTGCCTTACTACGATATTGAAAAGGAATGGGAAGTGTCCCCTAAATATCTAAGAAATAGTGGCAAAATAACATCATCCTGTCAAAGGGGAAATTCGTTACTTGTGAAAAAAAAATGACCTAAATTTCACACTGATGCTGTAAATCAGATTTTTATGGTTTACTAACACTTTGCGTGTTATTTAAAAGCCTAAATATATTTAGGGAATTGCAGGAATAATTTATTGAGTGTTGCAATGTAAGCAATTATAACTTAAGAGACCACATTGTATATATAAAAAACACACATATGCCACACCTCACTTACATCGCAATAATCTTTGCCTACAGAACACCAATATATATATATATATATATATATATATATATCTAAAAGGCAGGATGTGTGTGTGTGTGTGTGTGCAATGAATGCACGGCTGCAATTTTCGATGGATTTGCACCAAAATTTACATGCTCATGCTTCAAGTTAGCGGGAAGGCCAAGACTGACTTTGCATTTCCCAACTCCCATTGATAGTGTAAATAATCGATTATTTTCATGCTTCTACAACAGTTTTCATATAGTTTCGGCCATTTTGTACTGGCCAGTGTGAGAGCCTATAGCTGGCTGTCATGAATTGGCAGGAAGATTCTATTGGTCAGTGTGAGAGCCAACAGCTGACTGACATGAATGTTAACTAGCATGCTAACATGCAAAAAAATTTGATAGCTGCATTCGTCACAAGTGGGAAAAATTTAAATCTGCATGGCACTTTACTCCAATTGGCTCATTCGATTGCTTAAACTCAATGTTGATTCTGATTGCACAGAACTGGGTTGGGTGTGTAAAAGTATTTGTTGTTAACATTTTTTTTCATTCGGTTTTTCAGTTATGAGTCCTTTTTTAAGCTGATCGTTTTGTATTCATTTTGTTTAGTTCTTTTTTTTTTAACGGATTTAATGTTTAGTATAGAGCTTAGAAAAAAAAAAACTGCAGTGTGAGATAGGCAAGAAGTAAGGCATGTAGCAACATCAGCATGGCAAAGGGCACTCCTTTAAAAAATAAGGAAGGGCAAAAATATTTTAAGTCAAGTGATAGCGATTGCTGTATGAGGTCGTACGATTTTGAATCAAGCACAGGCAACCCAGATCCATGATGCTAAATATATATATATATTATAATTTTATCATATAGACAAAGCCATCTAACTCACTACAAAGATACAACTTGGTTTCAGTGCAGTTGAAACACACTGAAACGAAGTTGCATCTTTGTAGCAAGTAAAACAGTTTTGTCTATATGTTAAAATTATAATAAATAAATAATTATCGCTTTACTATCGGTATCAAGCCCACTTTTGGATTAATTCACTTGAGCGTTGGAATTTATATATTGAAAAGGTTCTCATCATATTTAATATATATATATATATATATATATATATATATATATATGTATAGTATCTATATTTCTATCTTTCTTTGAGATGAGGTATTATGTACACTATTTAAATTATTCTCCTTTTGTCGCCATATTTATTACAAAATTTCTGCTGTTGTATGCATCCAGCCTTCTTCAGGTTTGAAATGTCGAACTGAAGTCTTTATTTCGCTCACTGGGGTAGAATGTTCTAGTTCCAGCTGCTATGCCTAATGGATGTCAAGGGCACATGGCACAGTGGATAAAGGTGTTAGTTAGATCCAGTGACAGGACCTGAAGCGTCTGAGTTCAGTACCTGGTTAAGGTGTTGGGTACTTGGAGAGGGAAATTAACAGGAAATAACTGATAACTGACATCCATTGAACATGGAACTAGAACAGTCTACCTGAGTGAGCGAAATAAATGGTTCAGCTCGACATATCAATCACCTGAAGAAGGCCAGAGAGTATAATGGCCAAAATGTTGAAATAAATATGACAACAAAGATGAGGACAATAGTCAGAATAATGTAAATAGTGTAGATATATATATATATATATATATATATATATATATGTATATTTTGCTTGAGTGAAATGATAACATATATATATATATATATATATATATATATATTTGCTCTTGTTATTCGATCAAGCTCTCTGGAGAAAAAGGGTAATTTCAAAACAGTGGCTACTGCTGCTATTAATGCATTGCTCTTCAATTATGAATTGAGCTCTCTTGGCTACTGGCATTTGTATGCATTTTGTATTGAATACGTTAAAATATTTCCCTTTCTCTGTTGTGTGCTGTGTGCCAATAGCTTAGGAGTAAGATCTGTGACTAGTGCCAAATCCATCAAATTTCAATCCATGCTTGAAGCAATTGGATTTCTATCCACACTGACTGGTGGATGACTATATATATATATATATATATATATATATATATATATATATATATGTATGTATGTATGTATAGAGGTGGGTAAATCAAATAACTAGATACTAGGAACCGTATATGCGCCTATTAGCGTGAATACACAGGTAAGCAAATGAATATTTACTAAATTTACTTTAAGGTGTAAACAAAACATTGCTCAATGTGGTTAAATAGAGATAAGAAATATATACTAATAAATATACATATACCTATATTTAGAGTGCAACTTAAGGTTCGTTGTTCTACCAACTCATCAGGCATGAAAGTAATATTTTGTGCATGATGAGTTGCTAAAACAACAAAACTTAAGTCGCACTTTAAATGTTTTGGCCATATGCATATTTATTAATATATATATATATATATATATATATATATATATATATATATATAAAGTAATGACATTATTTGGTAATCTGTATAGTATAGATAATTCCAAAAAGGATGTAAATCCAGAGAGAGCTCAATGTAAAAACAGAGCAAATAATAATTATTATCATGAAAACAAAGGTCATGATAATATTTTCTTTCATTAGAACTGATATTTCAGTTCTAACTCATTACACACGATTACAGAAATAAATGGGTAAAATTTTCCAGGCCCAAAAAGCAAAAATCTAAGCATAAATTATGTATACTTAAAATATTGAGGGAATGGAGAGGAAAGAAGAAAAATATTCAGAAAAGGGGGAGGAGGTAATGAAAGAAGAAAGAAGGAGGTGTATTCAGAGCCTAGAAGAGAAGGAAGGAGAAAGAAAGAAATATAAATCTGTTAAAAGAGAAATATATATCAAGGTTAAAATCATGAGACCAGACATGTTGACCTAATTATCTCAAATGTGCACACTACTTAGAAAGGGTTTCGTCAACTTGCAAGAGATGAGAGAGAAAGAAAAAAAATGAAAAGGAAAGAGAAAGAAAAGAAGTTAAAGTTACAGCTTACAACCAGCCATCATCAGTGTACAGTTGAATATATTTTTCTGAATATATTTTTTCTTTAATTTTTGTAGTCGTTCAAGTTCTTACACTTTTGTTTTTTTAAAGAATATAATAATAATAATAATATTATTAGACAAAATAGATGCAATACACTGACAAAACAATAATAACAATAATAATAATAATAATGATAGTCTGTTTTTGTTGCATTAAAAATTTCAAAGCAACAACTAACTCATGATTAATACTTCTCATTTTCACTCTCATGTGATCATGTGTGATGTCAAGAGCTGTGACGTGATTTTCGCTTCCACGTCTCGTATACATGAGTTAGTCGTTGCTTTGAAATTTTTCATGCAACAAAAACAGACTATCATTATTGTTTCGTCCGTGTGTTGTTTGATATATTGAAAAGTAATTGTCATCTTTGATAATGGCTTATGTAAGCCGAAAGCTTAGATTGGATTTGAACGTGTATCAATATGGTGATTTCCTTTCGTCTTTCAATGATAATGTTATTAAGCTTATCAGACAATATGAAAGGAACTTACTTAAAATAAATAGACAAAACTTGTCTATATTATTTAATGAAACATGCATTAATGAAACATTGCTGCCTAAATATGCACAATATATTAGATTGGTGCAAAATAATGTTGTTTTTGACGTTAAGTTGAACATCAAAAAACATTATTTTTGCATTCACCAACCTAATATATATATATATATATATATATATATATATATATATATATATATATATATATAGTTATAGTTAGTTAGTTAGTTAGTTTATGAAAAACTAGGTAATCCTATGGGTAAAACCTAAGGAGGATAAAATCCAGAGAGCTCAATGTAAATCCAGAGCAAATAATTTAAAATAAAAACAGACCACTTTAAGGAACCTTAAAGTGGTCTGTTTTTATTTAAATTATATATATATATATATATATATATATATATATATATATATATTCATCCACATATAAGCCTGTTTCACTGTATCACATATCAGTGTGGCTAGACGTCCTGTTTTGCTGTATCACAGCTCATCAGTTTGGCTAGACATCTGATTGCTTCAAGCTGGGATCGAAACTAGACCAATTAGCCATCAGTCAGAGAGCTTATTTCTAAGCTATCGGTGCATGGCAGAAAAGGGGAAATTTTAACATATTATATATGATATGCGTATAAAAGCCAGTGATCAAGAGGGCTGAATTTCTCATTGAAGAGTGGTGCATTAATAGCAGTAACAGGCACTGTTTCAAAATCACTCTTTCTCATGAGTGCTCAATTGAAACAAGACCGCATATATATATATATATATATATATATATATATATATATATACATACATATATACATTTATATATATATATATATATATATATATATATATATATATATATATATATATATATATGAAATATGAAAATTAAAAGAATTTTAGTTATAAAGTACTTGAACTCAAAAAATTATACTGATGAATTTAAGTTGTTAAAATGTTGTTTGCTTAATCTACATGATTAGATTATTGTTTTAAACAGACGTTCATCACTCCCTGGAGTAAATTAGTGTCATTTTTCGGTAAGTAGATTTTCCCTACCAACTTTTATTTCAACTAATGTCTGCCAGCAGTCCATAAACGAACCTGCCATTATTCAAGTATTTTTCTTTTAATTTTTACTTTTCTTTAAAGACCATATTAACTTTCTGTTATTATTACAGGATTATAAAAATTCCAGCAATATTGGTATAACATAAAATATACATTTAAAGTCTGCATTTCTAGATTTTTGCTGACACCAAGAAATATTTTATTAGCTTGTCTCTCTCACCATTACTGTTGTAGTAAAATTCACTTCTCACTAGTTGCCTCATGTTCATAGCCTTATGCCAGACTAAGCTAAATTTAGTTAATATCTGAAAACAAATTACAAAATATTTGCATCAGTATTACTTGTTTACTGATGGCCATAGACTGAGGATCTGAAGAGATGCAATGAAATAGAAGTAAAATGAAGATGAAAGAAATACTAGTGAAAAATTAATAATGGCTGACAATGCTTCATCTTATAAAAATTCAACATAATATTACTACTTGTTTACTGATGGCCATAGACTGAGGGTCTGAGGAGATGCAATGAAAAGCAAGTAAAATGACGATGAAAGAAATGCTAGTCAAAACTTAATAATGGCTGACAATGCAAAATGCCCAAGATCCCCTCTTTGGAAAACATTGAGATAAGCTCACAATTAGTTCACCACACAGGTAAAACGTCCATTAAATGTAATGTGATGAACAATTAACATTAAATTAATTAACAGGTAAACAGTACAGACACACGTGCATGTATGTACGTGCGTGGGTGTGTACACATACACAAACATATATATATTATGAAATGGACAATGTCCAACAATTATTTAAGACATTTTTTTTTTAATACTGTCAATATTTTTTTTTAATACTGTTTATTATAAAACAGAGCATTTACTTAAATATTTGTATCTATAAAAAGAATGTATAAACATAAAATATCTTAAAATAATTGTCAGACTTTGTCCATTTCATAATGTGTGATGTCATTTGTTTACATTTGAATACACATCAAGCAAATATGAATGAATGAGAGAAAATCAAGGAGAATTGTGTTTAAAAAACAGTAAAATCGACCTTGCTAACCAAACGCTCCTCTGTGGCCAAATCAGTTAAGGCATGTCAGGCTATATGACAGTTCTGTATAGGATACAGGTTCGATTCCTGTCGGAGGATACATATTTTCTATGAAAATTTCTCAGACATTCAGGCCGGTAAATGTTGTTAATACTGTTTATTATAAACAAAGCATTTACTTAAATATTTGTATCTATAAAAAGAATGTATAAATATAAAAAAAATGTCTTAAACATATATATGTATACAGATACTTGCATTGAAGTTTAAGACAGAAATTTAAAATTCTGCAGTGTATTGTAGTTTTGTCATCAGCATAGATACTGAGTTGGTATCAGGCGGGTTGTTGATTAAAATTAGGAATAAATTAATGTCTAATTAATCAATCAGATGTGTATTATTGAACTTTTATGACATCATTTCTGTTGTTTTGGTAAAACGGATAATCAGGCAGAATTCTGGAACCAGGGTTACCAGAAAATACTCTGAAAATATGGCAGTCACTCTACAAGGCTTGATTCTGTGTTAGGATTTAAGCACTTACCTTTACATATTGGGCAGCATTTACCATCAACATTTATCTGATTACTTTTTGAACAATTGAGACTTGGACATGATTCTGGGGAGATCTTCTTACAGACCATACTTGCATTCTAAAAAGGCAAAAATAAAAGATTACCCATGATTCCTTGAAATAATAGATCAATAAATGTTTCAAAAAAGACTGAAATCAGGTGATGTTTTTTTCTCTGAAAAATATAGTTTATTATAATGAATAATAATAGTAATAATATTTGACTAATTTGGATAAAATTAGTAGATATTAAAGTTCTTACTGTAAAGTTATAGTAGAATTCTCAATAAACGGAGTTGTTCTGCTTCCTTGACTAACATGACTAGCAACAGGTTTGCAAGAATGTTTGGCAGCAAATTCTCAGAAAAACTATAAAGGGAGCTGCTAATGATCATCTGCCAGTGGTCTTTTGAGAGTTTACTGGCATTGCAGCATCACAGATTTTGGTATACCATCTTGCTTGCTACCATAGATGAAAGCTCTCCAAAAGGTTATAAATGTTACCCAGAAAATAATCTGTCAATCAGTGTCCTTCATGGAGGATATTTCTAATTTTCATTATCACAGCAGAGCCAGAAGACTTAATGAAAGACAGCATGTATCTTGGGTACCAATTGTTTGAACTCCTAACACTCAGAGCATTGCTTTTGCTGCATTAGTTCTAGGAATAATCATTTGAGGGATAGCTTTTATTCATGGTTTATGCGCAAAATAAACGCTGGCAATTTTCAGATTATTTTAAATGTATTTCTTTTGTGTGTGGGGTTAGGGTTAGTGCACCTGGGGTCTGTTGTCCAATTGTTCACTGTGCATTGTACAGTGTCAAGAAGAATAAATAAATAAATAAATGCTTTTCTTGCTCCATATTAAATAATGTGTTTTTATGTAATCGATAGAATAATCAATAACTAAATTCAGTCACGAGATATAGTTTCAGAGATTGTTAAATGTTAATAGCAGGACTGACTAAGCTCTCTAGCTTTCAGGATCTGTTTATTTCTGAGATGAGGTATTATATACACTATTTACATTATTCGGACTATTGTCCTCATCTTTGTCGCCATGTTTATTACAATGTTTCAACTGTTGTATGCTCTGGCCTTCTTCAGGTGCTTGGAATGTTGAACTGAACCCTTTATTTCACTCACTGGGGTAGACTGTTCTAGTTCCACATGCTATGTTTTTAATGGATGTCAGTTATCAGTTATCTCCTTAATTCCCTCTCCAATTTCTCCACTGCCTTAACCAGGTATTGAACACATACTGTTTAGGTTCTGTTACTGGACAACACATGGCACAGTGGATAAAGGCATTAGTTAGATCCAGAGACAGGACCCTTTGCAGAACAGAATCCTGAGAGAATGCTTCCCTGATGACTATAATCTTAACCTCTTCAAGACCAGTGTCAACTGATATCTATTCTACATATATTCATAATATGCACTTATTAATTGCTCCTTCCTTCTTAGAACAATCTCAGTGAGTACTCTACCTTGAGTAGCTCTTAAGTCTTGTTAAACTAAAGTTAAAAGGAAAGAAGACTTGCACTTCTCACTTGTGGAACTCTCTTCTGGTTCCATCTTTCCAGCTAACTTTGTTATTCAAAAATTTAAATGAAATGTCAATCATTAATTTAAGAGCAGTACTAGACTGGTCACAAGGTCTCGTCAATTTAAAATTGAATTGGCTAGATGTAACCGTAAATTCTATGCTAACAGTTTCTTTTCTCACACTTCTCGCTTGTGGAAATCTCTCCTGGATCCATGCTTTCCAGACAACTTTAGTCTTCAAAAAATTAAACGCAGTGTCAATTATTATCTACTGTCTTCTTGATTACACTTCTGTTGTTCTCAATCCTTAATAATGTTTCTCTTTTTTCTCATTCTTTCACACTCAGTAACCCCCTTGTGTCTTAGTGGCTTTATTGCCTTGAATGGAGTGAAATAATTAAAAATAAATTACAGTTGGTAAGCAAATGACAAACTAGAAAACCTTTTTAGTGAAACATTTCATTCTGATAAGGAACTTTATTAGAAACATGATTAGTCTGAAGAAAACAGCTTCTTGGTATGAAATGTGTTACCCCAATTGTTTTCCCATTCTTACAAATCACTTAGCCATTTAGATAGAACATTATGCCCTATTAATCACAAATCAAAATTCAGTGAAAAATTAATACCAGGCTACACACTTATTGATGTGAACTTTGACATCTATCAGTTGTACATTCCAAAATTCCAAAATTGGGTTTATTTTCTGCCCCATTTTTTTTCATATTTTCTTTAAGAAAAGTAAAATTTCATGATAAATAAAAGGTTTACTTACATCACAGGAACAGTAATAACAATTATTTTTTTGTATTTTGTCTCCCGGATTGTAATATTCAATCCTATTCTTGTCATTGGAGAGGCAACAATCTGTGGGGAAAAAAAAAATATATATATATAAATATATAGAGAGTCATGGTAAAGTAATGGATTGTGTCTCAGATTGAGGAATTGCAGAGCTGAGTTTGAATTCCAGTCAAGTTCATTACATTCACATTGGTGTTGAATGTAGAATAAAGGGAAATCCTTTATTCTACATTCAACATCATCACTTGATAAGACACCAGAAGTGTTGAAACAAAATGGCTATTTTTGTAGTGATTTTATAACATATTTATGCTATAATTTTCAAATAAAGAATTATATATATATATATATATATATATATATATATATATTCAAGCAAGGAAATAAAATCTATTGGGTCAATCTTGAAAGTTTTGTCCTCGATCTGAAAAATAATGTTTAGTATGGTGACTCCATAAATAGGCACTCAATTGGATAATGCAATAAGAAGGCCAAGACGATATCAAACTTTGGCAAAACCTAAATATCGATTACAAGTCGATTGATTAAAAAAACCTTCGGCCTTCTTCAAGTGGTTAGAATCTCGAACTGTTGGATTTCTAGAACAGTCTACCCCTGCAAGCGAAATAAAGGGTTCAGTTCGACATTCCAACCACCTGAAGAATGCTTGATTGTACAATGGCAGAAACGTTGTGATAAATACAGCGACAAAGATGTGGACAATAGTCTGAATAATGCAAATAGTGTTGTAACTAGTATGCTCCATTTCAGTTTAAATACTGGCATCGAATCATTTTTTACTTGAAAATTTATCTTGGATTTTGCACAGCAACCCAGTTAATTAGAGAAAACATCAGGAAACAGTTTTTTATTGCTTCCTTCAGTTTTTTAAATTTGTTTCTTGTCCACTTAAATTTTTGCAATAAGCATTTATTGGCACAGTTCGAATAGTTCCATCCAGTCTGTACCAAATAGATTTTGGAAATAAATATCACATGTTAATTCTCTCTAAAAATAATTTTTCACCAGAAACTGAACTTTTGGCTTTGTAAGTCTTTTTTAATAAAGTTTTTCCATTTTCATTCCATGTGGTTTCATTTTCTATTAAAATGTCAATACCAGTAGTGAGGAACATTTTACTCCCACATTATTGATTTGTGTGCTAACAAATTTTCTTTTGTTTCGTGTCCCTATTTTTTTCTGTCAAAATATTGTGTATTAATTTCTCCTGTGAAATTTTTTCTTGGTTTAGTTCTGCAGTGTGATTTGATGTCCTTTTTTACTTATGGTTTTTACTTATGTATTCTGCATTTTTCCATGGACAGTATTTCCCAAGATATAATTTTCCGCATCTTTTTGTGCATTTTTCCTTAGCTTTTACCAATGCACATTTTTTATTCTGAAATTTTTCAAAATCATGCTTCAGACTTAGTATTTTTTGACAATCATCTACCATTTCCTGTAGTGTTACTTTATTATGTTGTTCAATCTTTGCCAAAATTTTTGTTCATAATTCAGCATCTTTTTCCACTGTTAGACCTTGCACGAAAATTAATGCCTTGAACATATCTGTAGTCATTTCTTTTAGTTTAAATTGTTCACATTCTCTGTTGATAGTACCCAACATAAATGACAAAATCTTCAACCTCTTTTTCAGTTAAATATAATAAAAATAGATAAAAAATAATAAAAATAGATAAGGTTCTTCTAATCAAAAATCTTATTAAACCCAGACTGTATTGAGTGTCTGAAAGTGAATCATAGAGAGAGACAAAAATAGCAAGAGAGAGGAATTGCAGGAGTATCCTCTTAGATAAAGGCAGTTGTTTGTAGTGAGGGGTTAAATCATGTTTTGTGACCTAACTATCCATTGCGGGCATTTAAGTATATTTAAGAGAGATGATGTCACTTTCTTTATAACTGAGAATATGAAAAGACAGTGAAGTAAATACAGAGAGGGATTGGAGAGTGCTCATCTCGGATAAGGGTTTGTAATGGTCTATCAATCACTTGAGGACAAACTCTTCTCTGAACTGTAATTGACCTTTTGAAATTAAAATATTTCTTTGATAATTATAATTTTTTTGTAATATAATAAAAATAGATAAGATTCTTCTAATCAAAAATCTTATTAAACCCAGACTGTATTGAGCGTCTGAGATGGAAACAGAAAGAGAGAGGGATATAGTAAAACAGAAAGAAAGAGGAATGTAGAGAGACAAAAAGAGAGTTGAACAAAGAGAGTTGGTTGGAGTTGGGCAGGGGGGTCATCTTTTAAATCATGTTTCATGAACTAACAATGTGTTGAGTAGAAATTCAACCCCTGAAATACAATTGACCATTTGAAAATGAAATCATTCTTTAATAATTTTAATCAAAAAGTGAGCGAGGCAATGCTGCCTCATTGACACCAAAATTGTTAAGACAAAAACATCCATAGGATTATCAGACGAAAGGTGAATTGAAATGCAAAAGAAAAAGCCGAGTGGTAGATGCCAATGAATAAGCTCTGAATATTAATTCTCTCTGGAAGAATATATTCCACTAAGTAGCTTCTGACAAGTGAAGACTGTGTGGCAAAGAGGGGGAAAAAGTCACCCATATCATGAGTGCTTGTGAAATGCTTTTGCAGAAAGAATACAAGTGGCTCTATGATAAAGTACATTTATTTGCATTGGTGCCAATGTAAGAAGCTGGAGCCGAAGAAAAACTCATTAAAAATGAAAAAATCAAGATGTGAAATTTCAACATCCAAACAAATTGAATCTATGAGACCATCAAACCATATATAACTGTTAAAAAAATAAAATAAAATGACTTGTTATCAATATGGCTCTTCCTGGTGACCATAATATCCAAGTTGCAGAATCCATCTTGGGTATGACTATAAACTACATCCGTGTGCTGGGTAAGACGATAAACTACATCCAAAAGCAAGGCCTCTGATCAGGAGGTTTTGAGGAACGTGGAACCACCTCTTAATTGCTGGTGTTCCCAGGTCCACCCTGACCCGAGGTGGTAGCACCTGTTAGGGTCCTAACTTTGGGCAAATATTTAACCCCCAAACTGGGGTCAAAGTACCATGAAAGTGTAAAAATAGGTTTTAATACCAGAAACACATTTTTGTAAAAAAACTATTACCGGTTATACATTTTTTTAAAAATAATATTACCAGCAATGCAATAGATTTTTTTGAAGAAAAAATATTACCACCAATACATTTTTGGAAAAAAATATTACCAGCAATAAAAAATTTGTTGGTATTAAATAACCCATTGAAGTTGATATGCCGTAAAACAAAACAAACTAAATCAATAAACCAAAGTTGCAGAAATTGACAAGCTTAAAGAAATATCTTCAACCGCACTAATTAAAAGTGAAGCTGACAGAATGTGAGACGTTCAGGCCACTATGGTCTAAATTATTATTTAGGCATTGATGTCTGTACTATGGAATTTAAAGTCCTATATTATTACAATCCGAATGATACCAAGTATCCTATCGCTTAAGAAGACTTCATTGCTTGACACTCTGTGAATGTCACTGTCTGAGGACATATGATTTGATGGAGAACATCCATAATATAAAATCTCCACTTGAAAAGGAAAAAACCATGAGAAAGAACAAAGTATAATAATAATAATAATAATAATAATATCTGAAGAACAGAATTTCCATTGACTAAGTCCATGAGCAACAGTAATTGCAATATAATCGATCCTTAAAAGGCATCTCAACTTCAGTCAGTGATGTGACTTCCCTCTGTCTTTTCTACAAATATCTTTATGACAACTGCTCTGATGAGCTTTTTTTTCTATTGCTCCAATTACAAGAACATAATCATGCAACTAGATTGGCAATTAAATTCCACCGTTTTAGAGTTGAACTAGCTAGATGCAACTGCCACTTCTACTCTAATAGATTCTTTTCTCGTACTTCTCACCTGTGGAATTCCCTTCTGATTTCTTGCTTCCCTGATAACTACAATCTCCAAAACTTTAAAAAACTGTTATCTTCTGTATACTTAAACTCTGTTCCTATTCTGTCCTTTCTTTAATCCTCGCCATTCTCAATCTTTGCATTCTCTGTGACTTTCACTCCCTGTAACCCCTTGCATCTTAGTGGCATTTTTGCCTTGCTTTGGGTGAAATGATCAAAAAATTATGTAGATATAAAACAATGTGTATATACATATATTTCTTGTATGTATGTTATACTTTTCTGTATTACCAGCAGAGTTGATTGCACAGAGATGGGCAAATTGTAATATTTGTGTAGTTGATTCTTTTGAAGACATAGCAAGAATAGAATTTTATGGTATACTAAATAAAATTTCCATAATCATCTAACAGCAAATTGGACATTATTTCTTTGGTTTATAATTGTTGGACTTTGTCCATTTCATAATGTGTGACGTCATTTGTTTACATTTGGATACGCCATGAGCAGATATGAATGTATATGAGAGAATCATGGAAGATTGTAGTTTAAAGGCAGTAAAATTGACCTTGCTAACTGAACGCTCCTCTGTGGTCGAAATGGTTAAGGCACGTCAGGTTATATAACGGTTCTGTATAGGATACAGGTTTGATTGCTGTTGGAGAATGAATATTTTCTATGAAAATTTCTCGAACATTCAGGCCGGTAATTGTTATAAATACTGTTTATTATAAACAGAGCATTTACTTAAATATTTGTAGCTATAAAAAGAATGTATAAACATAAAAAATGTCTTAAAATAATTGTCGGATTTTGTCCATTTCCTAATGTATATATATATATATATATATATATATATATATATGATGTCATTTGCTAACATTAAGATACATTTTGAGCAGATATGAGTGTTAAAGAGAAACTTGTAGCTTAAAAGCAGTAATTTGACATAGCTAACCAGATGCTTCTTCTATAACTAAATGGTATAGCACATCAGGCCAAATAAATGACAGTTCTGTGCAGGTTACAGGTTCAATTCCTGCCAGAAGACATATTTTCTATGAAATTTCTTTGACATTCAGTTTGGTAAATGTTGTTAATGCCCTTTACTATAAACAGAGCATTTACTTAATCATTTGTATCTATAAAATAATGTATATATATATATATATATATATATATATATATATATATATATATATATATATATATATATATACATTCATTCAAGCATGTTTGGTTGAATAATCCAGACATATTATGTTTATTTATTTTTATTTTAATCCTCTTCAATTCACAGATTAATTTCTTAGTGTTGTTATTATGGTGATTAAGAAAGACTACTCTTACAAAGTGCATTTCATGTGCATTTACAAAAAAAATTACCACTATCAACTACATTAATTTTTTCTTTGAGCAATTCACCATTGAATATGATCTTGGAGAAGATTGAAAGTACTTGGGGAAATAAATGGAATGAGAAAAACTACGGTGTCTTTCTTAATCAGTTTCATAAGCTATATATATATATATATTGTCCAAAGATTATTTCAAGGATAGGTTCAAGCACATCTCAATATGTGCAGGGGTTGTAAAATTACAAAACCTAGCAATAGTATTCAGACTCCAAATGCATACGCTGATACACTGTATATCCTCTTTGGGGATTTCTCATGCACACAATCCTACAGATAGTGGCTATATTCATCTGATGCAGAATGCCATGCTTCTTACACCTGTTGATGCAATACAGCAAGTGCTACAGATGTGTTAATGTCAGGCTTCATCATATCATGTTCAGGTGTGTCAGTTGAACACCTTACTGATCATGTTGAGTAACATAGGCATAATATGGCAGGCCTTATTCTGCTGCAGCAGGGCACAAGTCTTCCTCAGGTTTTATGTCATATTTTGGACTGTTCAACAGTCACATCATTATTCACATCAGTATCTTCATCTTTGTTGTTTTTATCCCAACATTTCAGCTGATATGTTCTTCAGCCTTCCTCAGGTGTATATTGCATCCAGTGGTCCTTAGATGTCACTCTACACATTGTTCAGACCAGTATCTTCATCTTTGTTGTTTTTATTCCAACATTTCAGCTGATATGTTCTTCAGTCTTCCTCAGGTATATGTTGCATCCAGTGGCCTTAGACATCACTCTACATATTATTAAGACTAATATCATCATCTTTTTTGTTTTTATTCCAACATTTCAGCTGATATGTTCTTCAGCCTTCTTCATGAGTATATTTTTTTCAGTTTTTCTTTTCTTTTTTTTTTCAGATTCTAAAGTAGAAAACAAAACTGCATATTAAGCATTATATCAGGAACTGACTGAAGAGGGAGGAGATCTGTCTATTCCTTTTAAAAAAACATTTTGTTTTCAGACTGTTGTCATGGAAAGCATCAACAGAGTATTATATTTGAAGTTCATATAATATATAACATTTAACAAGAAAGTAACTCCACTGAAAGAAAAATAAACAGAATAAAAACAACAACAAAACAAGGTGTGCACTTACCGTCGGACTCTGGTTTACAACAATCTCGATAGACTGGATTGGGACAGTCATACTTTGAACAATCTCGACGCTTACATTCTACAGTAGCATTCTGAAAAAAAAAAAAAAAAGATTTTAATCAGCAGGAAGCAAAAATTCATTTTCATAACAGATAAATGCTGAAGAAAAAGCATAAATTATTCTGAGGTCCTAATATTTGATTTCATTCAAGCTCCCAATATTATTGCTGTAAGTTATCAGAATTTCTTAAAAATGCATATTCAATTATCATTAGCTTTTACTTCTATTTGATTTATCTTACTTTTCTTAGATGTTTACTATCTACTTGTAGTAATAGATAGAATAGTTTTAAGTTTTGATTTTTTAGAGGGAGCTTTGTTACTTATTAATTTGTGGCTAGTATTTATTTACTGTCTACTAGTAGTAGCAGATATACTAGTCTTGAGTTTTCATTTCTTAAAGGAAGCATTGTCAGTTATTAATTTGTTGTTAGTATTTATCTTTTGTTGCTTATTTAGTATTTTCTAATTCTTGGAGATGTAATAATCTTAACTTGACTGAAATTTTTATTAATTTTTGTTTGTATTTATTAATTTTGACTTATATTTCTTTTATTTTAGTTACTTCTCCACAATCTAGTAATAGGAGATGCAATAGTGTTAAGCTTGAATTTTTAGAAGAGGCCTAAACAATTATTGTTAACTTGTGACTAGTAGACATTTATTTCTTTAATTATATTTTGTAATTAGTCTTAAGTCATTTGGAATTTTTTATTAATTGTTGCTTGAACTTATAATCAATTTTAAATATTTTACCTGTTTACTAACTAGTAAAAGTAGATATAATAGTATTAAGTTGTTTGAATATATTAGAGGAAAAATTCTCAATTATTATTAATTTTAACTAGTATTTCTTTACACTATTTCCATTATTCGGACTATTGTCTTCATCTTTGTTGCCATATTTATTATGTTGCGGCCCTTCAGAATCTATCTATATTTCTGAGATAAGGTATTATGTATACTATTTACTATTTTTATCACTTTAAACATACTACAAATAATAGGAAGTTGTGGGGAGCCATGATCGCCTATGTCCTGAATGGAGACAACGAATAAAAGAAGAACACATAAGCATCTTCATTTTCATTATGAAAGGTAATTATTGGAAAAGGAACAATATAATTGAAAATGAATTATATCTCCTTACTTACCTTACATATACAAATTGTACACTTGTTAGGGCTCCATCGTTCACCCTCCTTTCTTATTGTGCCATTATGATAACAGTAATGGCACGGACACTGCTCCAGATTCAGTAACCTTTCTTCCGCCTGCAGAAGCTAAAAAAGAAGATGCAAAAAAAATGAAAAAAATTAATCGCATAACTGTTTTTATTTTGCAATATTTTTTTCCCTCAAGATCTTCAATTTTATATTTGGTTTATTATCTAATCTAGCATTCTTGCATTTAATTGTCAGACATTCTACTTTCACTTTCACTTTCAACTCATCCCTCTAGTTTGTTTTAATTGTGCAAAGGAGAAATGTTTTTTGCATGACTTCAAAATATTGAAAACTTTGGTTCCACTCATTCCTTACACTTTTTATCACTTGATGCACACACACGCACACACACACACACACACACACACACACACACACACACATATTTTTATCACTTTAAACCTTATTTTTAGTGGATACTTGTATTTGAGTAAACACCTCATTTATTTGTTAAATGGTATATACACTAAAAGCAATGTTTAAAGTGATAAAAAATCTGTTGGATTAATAAAAATCCATTACTTTCTCCAATATATATATATATACATATATATATATATATATATATTAATAAATATACATATACCTATGTTCATAGTGCAACCATCTCATCAGGCACAAGATATTACAATTGTTTTTTTAAAAAACAACCGTAATATTTTGTGCCTGATGTAAGGACTAATGACTTCAGATTTCTGGTTTAAAATCCAGTCACGAGTCTTTGCATACATAATAAAAAATTCCTCTTAAGCACAAATGAGGCTGGATGAAAAAATATGCACATTTCAATTAACCTCCCCACCAATACATTTATTATATCCTTGCTTTTCTTTTCTTTCCCTTTCTTCTTCTTCTTCTTCTTCTTCTTCTTCTTCTTCTTCTTCTTCTTCTTCTTCACATCCTGCTACTGCTATATCGCATCCAATGTTGTGTATTTGTTTATTTATTTTTTAAAAATAATAGAACATTCATTATTTTTTTTAAAAATAAGGCATTGAGAGGTAAAAAATTGCCTGTGGATACCATCAGGTTGAAATCAACTGATCTCCTAATATTTAAAGTATATATATATATATATATATATATATATATATATATATATATATATATATATATATATATATATATATATATATATATATATCACCGGTAGTTTTCAATGTATGTGTGTCTTTCAGATCAGTTTTATGTTTCATATGAGACAACAATCCTGCATGCAATTTTCAAACAAATCCACGCGAAGGGCATATTGAAGGGTTGACCATCATATGGGTTTATCACATTAGCCCAAGATTTAGTGTTAATTCTTAATTCTCTCAAATGATTAAGACAATTTTTTTCAAAGTTAGTTATACCTCAGTAGCAGATATTTCTTTAGTTTGCTTTGTTTTCAACAGCAAGTTTGAACTCTAAAGGAATGTTTGAAGCATAACCAAAAATGGCCTACATTATGCTTACCAAGAAAATGTTGCGTATACATAAGGATTTTCAGCATCTGATCATCACTCATTCTATATATATATATATATATATATATATATATATATGGACCAACCCTGGTACTGAGCATACTTTTTGAGAACGCATATATTATGTGGAGTACCAGTAGTCTCTAAAAAATAATGGAAGACCTTAAGTACTTTTGATCTTTTCCAAGATCATTTTCACAGGGAAATTTAAAATTTTTAAATCATTACAAAGTGTGTTTGCACATGGATTTAAAAATCACCATCACAATGGAATGCATATTTTATCGCAGTTACAATAAATTTGTCTTTGTAATTTACCCTTGAAGATGATCTTAGAAAGATTGAAAGTACTTGGGTTATTTACATTATTCGGACTATTGTCCTCATCTTTGTCACCATATTTATTATGTTTCGGCTGTTGTATGTTCCGGCCTTCTTCCAGTGGTTGGAATGTCGAACTGAACCTTTTATTTCGCTTGCTGGAGTAGACTATTCTAGTTCCATGTTTGATGGATGTCAGTTATCAGTTATCTCCTGTTAATTTCCCTCTGAATGTTCTCCACTGCCTTTACCAGGTATTGAACTTTGGCACAGTGGACAAAGGTGTTAGTTAGATTCAGTGATAGGACCCAAAGTGTGTGAGTTCAATGGTCTGGAGCCCTTTCTATTTGCCTGAAGGTCCTTGATAAAATCCAAAGATGGATATGCAATGTAATTGGTCCTGATCTGGCATCTCATCTGCAGTCGCTCTCTCACAGATGTGTCGTTGCCTCCCTCTGTTTTTTTTACAAATGCTTTCATGATAACTGATCCGATGAGCTGCTTTCGCTGGTTCCCAGACTTCATGAATTTAAGCGTTCAACTAGGCTGGCATCTCGCTCTCACCCTTTCACTGTCGAAACTGTTAAATGCAGCCGTCTCTTTCTACTCCAATAGCTTCATGTCTCGCACTTCTCGCCTGTGGAACTCCCTCCCCTCTTCCTGTTTCCCTGATAGCTATAATCTCCAACTATTCAAATGTAACGTCAATCGACGTCTCCAGAAACCCTGATCTATCCCCTAACTGTCTCTTCGTCCTTTCCTCTATCACTCCTCTTTGCTCTCGCTACAACTCTCTGTAACCCTTTGCGTGCTAGTGGCTTCCCGCCTTGCATGGAGTTGAATGCTTAAAAAAACCCAAAAAAAACACTATGCTGAGTGGTTCTAATTAACATTTTTTTTTTATTTAGTGCGACCAGCAATTTGAATATGGGCAATATGCAAAAACCTCAATCACAGTGACTTGTGACTTTATGCCAATCAAAATCGTTGGAATCTTTCAAACATTTTTATCCAAATTCACACACATGGTATGATTTTTAGGCCGTTTTCAAAGTAAAATATTTGGCCAAAGACATCATTGCACTTGAGTTTCTGAAGAAGTCTAGTATAAAATACCTTTCATATACCTTTCATATATTTAATACCTTTCATATATTTAATACCTTTCATATATTTAATACCTTTCATATACCTTTCATATATTTAATACCTTTCATATATTTAATACCTTTCATATATTTAATACCTTTCATATATTTAAAATCATAGCTTCACTGTTCTCATCTCAAGCCTGATAGACAAATTCATTAATAATCATTAATACATCAGTTGATCTAGAGAAAAAGTTACATTATTTAAAAGAAGTCTATGTGAAGTGATATGCTTAACGAATCCAAAGTTGATTAGAGCCTCTAGAACATTGCCCAAAAAAAAACAAAAAAAAAAAACAAAACAAAAATGGTAAAAGACTAATATGAAGGTTCAATAGAGTTTTTAAAGATAGGAACTATAGAGGAATATTTACAACAAGTTGGAAAGCAAGAAGCAGCAAAATATTTACTGTAGAGTTTGGAGAGAACAGGAGCCATTTTGGGAGCATATTTCCATATGACAATTACAGAGACACCATCAAGTTTGGTAGGGATCTAGTTTGGATAACAGAAATCATGTCAGTGAAAAATGGGAGATTAAAAAGAAGCAACGAGTAATTTGCACTTACCTTCTTATTTAAATTTTGAATATCCGTTTGCATCTTTTCATACATCTTTTGCAATTGATGGTGTTGTGCACATGTGGGGCAGTCTACAAAATACACACGTGAATATTACCTTATGCTGATTTATACCATATTGTAAATGGCATTATTTGTACAATATTAGGGAAATCTTCAAAGTGTCTCTAAAGAAAACTTAAATCTTTATTTTAGTATGAAACAATCTGTTGCCTCTGAGTGTTTACTTTAATGTTCATTTTTATATTTACATACACTCTACCTCTGATATTGAGCACTTTATTCCATAAATATAGCACACCTTAAAACTTTACTTCTTCACATATATATATATACATATATATATATATGTATGTATTACAATGAATCATTCATGCAAAAAGTAAATTAGTAAAGTTAATGATATAAAATGGTGAAATCCCTTTGCAAACAAAATTTTATGATCCTTGTTTTTAAAAATTATAAGCTGTATAAATTTTCAAAAAAATTCAACTTTAGCATTGTGACTGCATGCCCCAAAAGTTTTTAGCCATTAGCAATAACACATTTAAAAAAAAAAATATTTTGATCCACATTATCTTTTTTTTTGTCTTGGATGCTACCTGAATTTTACTAAGAACAAAATAATTTCCATGCCTGAAGATGACTGAATATACAGTCGAAAGTATTTGCGTATTTAAGAAAGGCCTTATACAGTTTATAATTTTTAAAAACAAGGATCATAACATTCATCAAGTGATTGGTAGGTTAATGCATCTTTAAAATTTTGTTAGCGAATGGATTTCGCCATTTTATATCATTATAAATTTATATCATTATAACTTATATATATATATATATATATATATATATATATATATATATATATATATATATATATTTACAAGCTTAAACATGTATTTTTTAGTGCTTAACTTGCAAAATAAATGCCTATTTTTAACACTTATTTTTATGGCAGCATTTAAATATGATTCCATTTCTCTGCTTCAATAACTGCCTTTGTATTTTGTATTTAATTAGTTGAATATATTACTTCAAATGTTATTTTTAGTAGTGTAAAAGTAATAAAAATATTAAAAATTAAAATTCCTTAATTCTTTTGAAAATACATGTGTGTGTGTGTGTGTGTTTGTGGCCATATGTATATGTATTTGCCTCTGTGTGTGTGTGTGCGTGTATGTGCATGTGTGTGTGTGTGTGTGTGAGAGAGAGAGAGAGAGTTCATTTATACTATTATCTACCCAAAACACAGTAAAAGAAAATTATTTTTAAATTTAAAATTCCCAGCATCACACAAAAACTTTTATCAATTTGTTAAACTTTTTCCCCCTAAAATTGTTCTTGATATTATAGGGATGTTTCATCACGGCCACGTCCTATTGTGTTACATACACATGTCAAGGAAAACTATCTTTGGTAATATCGAGAAGCACTACTTGAGCTCACTGTGTTTGTGGTATAGGGGAGTTATAACTCTGAATAAATAATTATAAACGCCCTAACATACATATATAACATTTATATACAAAAATACTCGTAAAAATAAGAAACAGCAAGACGTGGAAACAACAAAACGAGTACTATTTATTATCTGATTGTTATGTGGTGTTGAAGAAACGAGAGACGGTAATACTGAGTAAAATTGTGAGTTTGGGGTCAAATTTAGATCAAATATAGATCGGAATCTGACAGAATGATAAGATAAAGAATAAAGTGTATACAATCATTCTTGCAAAATAAGACATAAAAAGCAACCACCTCAGTCTTTTGAACAGGAGTAGAGATTTATCCCTTTTTTCTGGTTTAGGATTGGGTTTCTGCTTCCTTTTAATGTTTTCTCATTCTCTTTCTCTTCCAGTAGATCCTTGTGTCTTAGTGACATTATCACCTTGCTTGGGGTGAATTGATTAAAAATAAGTAAAAAAAAAAAAATCAATAATCTTCCTGACAAATCTTAAAAACATGACTTTCCAGAATCTGGGAATGACTTCTAACTCACCCAGTCTATGCGTTCACGTTAAAACAAATGTTCTCAGACTGTGGTGGAGGAGAGTTAGAACTCTGTATAATTATAACTCCCTCCCCCCATAACATTTATATATACAAAAATAGCCATAAAAATGAGAAACAGTAAGACGTGGAAACAACAAAACGAGTACTATTTATTATCTGATTGTTATGTGCTGTTGAAGAAACGAGAGACGGTAATACTGAGTAAAATTGTGAGTTTGGGGTCAAATGTCGATCAAATATAGATCGGAATCTGACAGAATGATAAGAGAAAGAATAAAGTGTATACAATCATTTCTTGTATATTTTTTTTTTTTTTATAGATGTGTAAATTCATAGGAAATTTTGAAAGTATTCTGAACTTACTTGTATCTTGATCCGGACACTGCTCAAGAAAGCCATGAGATTTTGTCACTATTTTGACGTCTTGTAAAGCCCCCTGAAAAAGAAACAAACAAAAAAGGACCCGGTAATTCTTTGAGAGTTGATTAAAGAATTGTTTTTTTTTTTTTGACATTAACAAAGAGATCGACTTAAAAATTATTTCTTTTTAGATGATGTACTCACCAATCTTCATACAATCAGTCAAAAGATGAGTTAAAAAATATGTATAGATTAAATACTAAATGCATTTTCAAGCTTTATGTGAGAGATTAGTGTTAAGGGCTGTCATATCTTATCTTTTTACTAATGTAAATGAACCTGGGCTTTCATAAATACATACAGGCAGATAGATGGCTCGAGCTGAACATCTACAGTCCGTCTAATGTTACGCAAATCACTTGAACCTCATTAACTTGAATTTGCTTTGAACAATCTTTGTCAAATTTTAAATGATTAATTTAGATGCCAAAACAAAGCTTGAGTTAAATAGTTTTAATATGCTTTATTAAAGTTATAGGATTTATTATAAAATCCACAGTCTGAAGTCATTATGCAGATTAAACTAATATTAGTTTAAGGCCACTGAAGTTTTTATTTATTTCCATAATTGATATGCGAGATTAGTGATTGGAACTATATCATCCTTCTCTTTCACTTGGAATAAGTGGAATGAGACAATCACAAATATATGCAGGCAGATATGTGGTAAGAGCTGGACAGGTAAGATCTAGATGCAGATTAGATCTGTTTCAGATCTTATCGGAGATCAGTTCTGAGTTATAGATCTTTTGATTTTTGGTTGGATTAATGAAGATTAAGAATTACATGAATTATGTAAGGGATAAAAGTCACTAGCTTAAAGTTTAATCCAATTATAATCTGAATGTGAGACTTTGAAATACATTTATATCATGTAGGTTTTACGATAAATCTTTTAAGTAAGTAGGGGGAAAGTGTTGGGGGTAATGACAATTTGAAAATAGCTAAAAATTAAGTTTAGGTCATACCTAGTGGATGAGATAGCTGTATATTTTACCAAAATGCTTGGTGTTTAATTCTTGCTACCATTGTCTTTACAAGTGTCAGGTCATACCTAGAATATTGCTGTCCTATCTTTATTTCATCCACTGGGGTAGATTGTTCTAGTTCTATGTGCTATGACTTTTCTGGATGTTGCAGTTATCTCCCTTTAACTCAGCTCCCCAAGTTTTTGTTTACCACTGCCGTAGTTAGGTATTGAACTCACAACTCTTTGGGTCAGGTCACTGGATCCAACCAACACTTTTACCCCGGTGGAAGAAATAAAGAATTCAGGTCAAAATCCAATCACCTGAAGAAGGCTGGAGCATACAATGGCCAAAACGTCTACAGAAGGATACTGAGAATCTCAATGACTGAACATGTGAGTAACGAGGAAGTTTTAGAGAAAATGGAAATAAACAGAACACTTATTTGAATGAGAAAGAAACAATTGAAATTTCTAGGACACATATTAAGGAAAGAAGGCTTGGAGAATTTGGTACTCATAGGACATACTGATAGCAAGACAGATGGAAGAAAGCAGTGAATAACCTACTTAACAAGCTTGTGTAATTATTTGGCAGAACAAGTATTAGGAGTGATAGCAAAAAGACAAACCTTACTAAGAGCTACAAAGGATAGGTAGTTGTGGAGAGCCATGATTTCCCATGCCTTGAAAGGACATGGAACATAGAAGAAGAATTATTGCTCTATCACTGAAATCTGTCACAATGGAACAAGTTTCAGGTATCCATTGAAGTCTGAATTTATTACAGTATTAGACTCATTGTGAGACTAACCACGGCTCCATTATTTTTAAAACAAACTTGGCTAGTATGTCTGGCACAAAACTATAAGAATAGGCCACTTAGTGAGGGTTAAAGGTAGATTTGTCTATGGTATTACTAATGCTAATTAATGTGCTACAGTGAAGTACTTATTTATAAAGCATAGTTTTGTCTGATACAAGATGTTGGACTTGTAAAATTTGTCTGCTCCTATATATAGAGGTTAGTCACATGATGTTAGGTGGTTAATAAAACCAGACAGGTTGAGAAAATGTCTGACCACCACCAGAGAAGGGACCTGCTATGAAGTAACACAGAAGAAATTCTCTCCACCGACAACAGTACCAGTTGCCAAGGGTTTTAAAGATACAAGCTACCTAGACTTATTTCACTCCACCAGATGGGTTAGCCTGCCTGGCATATTCTCTCTATGTAGGAAAGGAAATTATGTGTATGTTAACCATTGTATTTATAGGTGTAAATAAATATCTTTATTACATGCTGATAAAGTATTCCTCTTATTTGTTCCAGTCCTAAAGTAAAGTGGGGTAGCACAATAAAGGTAAAAAGTGTGGGGTACCCAAAGAAGATTAAAATTGCTAATGCAATAGTAGATTATAAGACTTCATTACAAGCTTCTGTTCCATGGTGAAAGGACCATATATTTATTAGTTTTGCTTAGTTTGACATAAGGTCATTTGTTTGTGGCACTCAGTGGGAATGAAAATCACTAATTTATAGAGTATGAGACTAATTTGCAAGCCATCATATCACGGAGAGGTCCCCAGGTATTTACTAATATTATATTTGCTACACACTGGGTGAAAATTTTTTGACAGCCTATGAGGGTCAAATTAAATAGTCCCTTTATAAATTCCTTTTTAATTCAATAATGTGATTCAAACTTTTTTTTTCTACTGACAAAAGTGAAGAACAACATTGAAACTCACCCGAAAAAATGCATGTTGACCATTTCGTTGGCCGAGAAAAAGAGACAATTTTCCTGCCTTAAATTTTCTGTCTAAGGCCAGTATGACTCGTTTATAGATCTGCTCACAGTCGACAAACACAGTGAGGTGGGTTGCGCTTAGGCTGAGAGCCAAACGGTGCCAATGGTTATCAGCAAGTCTGTAAGGGAATGTTTCAACTTGGATATCTTGGTCATGTGTGTAGTGAAACCTCACTTCATTCCTCCGTCCACTATTCTCTATTTCTAAAATTCTGCAAAATAAAAAACAAAAAAAAAAAGGGAAAAAATAATTAGATAAATGAAAAATTACATTTTTATTGGCATGGTACATATAATAGCCCTATTCTGTCAGTAATGTTTGCATTAATTCCTGACCAATGACAATCTCTTTTTCCCTGATTCTCAAAGAAATCCCACAGAAAATTAAGGGGGACACAGGTTCAAATCTTGCCAGAGGGCACATATTTTTCTTTAATAAGATTTCTCAAATATTCAGGTTGGTAGACGAAAATAAATAAATATACTGTTTAGTAAATGAATAGATCATCTACTCAAAAATGAGTATCCATTAAAAATAATGTTTAAGTAATAAAATCTGTCAGATTGATAAATAAAAATTGACCACTTCTCCATCTTCCTCAAGCAGCTGGTCATGAGGCACCAGTTGTCCACCTTCACCCATTCTCCAGCTTAGAGCTGGAATTACTTATCAGAGGCTATTTGAGAATCATGACATGGAAGCATATTTAAATATACCTGTATGCATTCAAAATAAGTTTAATTCTTTGTTTTTGTTTATCAAATTGGGACAAGACAGAGGATCAATTGATAGCTGTAATTGTACAATTATTTTTTCTATTAGTTTAATTTAATATTCAAAAAGTATTGTTTTAACATTAGTTTTAATAATAGTTTTTAGAATGAAATTATTCTTGTAAAACCATAATCTACTAAATAAATAGTGTTTAATATTTTTGTTGCAACCTGTTTGGTCAAAATCCAGTCTTAGACTACATTGCCATATTCATAAGATTCAATGGAATACAAGGCATTACATTTCCATTTGAATTTACTTCCATAGCCTTTTCTATCTTTGGATAACCACAAGGTTGTGGACATTTAAAATCAGGGTTTTTCTTCCTCTTGGTAGACTGCCTTCCTCAGCTCTCATGCTCCACTTGCATGAAGCAGCTACTTATGAGGCACCAGTTTTCAGCTTTTAACCATTCTTAAACTTGGAGTTGGACTTAGTTAGTCAGAGACTATTTGAGATGCAGACCACAGAAGCATTTTATAAACAGTGGCATTTTGTCCCCACTATCACCCCAACCTTTGGAACATATATAATGTATGTATATAAACATTATATATAATACGTGTTCCAGAAGCTTCCAAGAGATGAATAGCTTTTTAAATATATAAAATCTTTGAAGAATAGAAATACTAAAAAGTAAGAGAAATTATGAAATATTACATAAATAAATCAACACACATATCAAAAAAAATTTTAATTTTAGAAAAAGAGAGCAAAAATGAAAAATGATTATATAATTTAGGATTTAAGCCTAAAATATTCAGAGATTATTATTAAGTCATTGTTTAATATTAGAATAAAACCATATTTTATTGTATGAAACAAGAGAGAGTATAAAAAAATGAAAAACTTTTACGTACCTGGTGATTCCAGATGAAAAGGATAGAATACTACCCGAATTTCCTTCTTCTTGCTTTAATGTTGCTAAAAATGTTATATCTGTGTTCTCATTGAGAATTTTTTGGGCCCTGGTGCTTACTGCATCAGACAGTAGGATATGCCTGGGGCCATCTGTAAAAAAAAAAAAAGTAAAAAAGAGGAATGAATTATGTTATTATTGTTGTTGTGAGTCATAGCCATTCCTAAAAGTCAATAGTTATTAACATGAATAGAATATATTTTGAATTTCCAAAAGAAATAATTTAAAATATTTATGAGTCTCCCAGTCACCCACACAGTGAATATTGTTGCCACATCTGGTTTGATGCTCCTGTTATATATTTACAGATTCTTGATAAAATCCAAAGAAGAATCTGCAGTGTTATTGGTCCTGACCTGGCATCTTGGCTTCAGTCACATTTCCACTGCCACAATATATTTTGCATTTGTCTTTTCTATAAATACTTCCATGGTCATTGTTCTGATAAACTTTACCCTATAGTACCCAGACTTTATGAATTTAAGTGCATTACTAGATTGGCGGCAAGTTTTCATCATTTTACAATTGAAATGGATAGATATTACCATAAGTTCTATGCTAACCATTTCTTTCTGCACTTCTCACATGTAGAACTCTCCTACTGCTTCTTACTTTCCATTTAACTTTGATCTTCAAAAATTGAAATGCAATGAAAATTCTTATCTACTGTCTTCTTAATTCTTATTCTTTTATTGTTCTCGATCCTTCTAAGTAGTTTTTCTGATATTCTCTAACACTCGGTAACCACTTGCATTATGGCACTGAATGATGGATCATCTCATCACAGATAGATAAGAGACTTGAGGCAACAGAAATGTTGACTGAACACGGGAACAACAATGAAATTTTAGAGAAAATGGAAACAAAAAGGACATTTATGTATAGCATCAGAAAATGTTGAAATTTCTAGGCTGCATAATGAGCAAAGAGGGCTTGGAGAATTTAACACTCACAAGCAGGACAGTGGGAAGCAAAGCATAAGCTACCTAACAAGTCTGAGTAAATGACTGGCAAAACAGGGATTATGAGATAAAGCACAAAGATGAATGTTATGAAGGCCTACAAAGGAAAGGAAGTTGTGGAGAGCTCCGGAAGAAGAATGTGCTGTCTTTCCTTGTTGTTTTAAAAATAATCTCAAAGATATGCCTAAAAAAAGGCCATTATGATGTGGCTCTTATGTGCCCTGGCATTTTTTGTAAAACTGGATATGAACAGGAATTGGATTAATTAAAATTAATTGATTCATTCATTTTTTATGACTTATCAACCCCTTGCAGGTTATTTAAGGCCAGAAAATATTTTTTGATTCATAGATTTTTTTTGGCAGAGATCATAATAAGTTACTGATACATGTCTTAATAATTAACCCATAGTTGGGGGAAGATGAAGGGGATTCATATCTTTCCCAAGGGTATTTGTGCATAAGTGTATGTCATGAACCCAGTGGGAATTGAAACTCTGATTAACAATTCTGAGCCATTATTCATTACACCACCTGCACATCCAAGCTTACAGCACCTGGTATTCCCAAGCGGTCACACATCTAGGTACTGACCAGTTTTGATGTTGCTTAACTTCAATGCTTGTATGGTAAATAGTGTTTTAATGTGATGTGGCCAAAGGCTGATGAATGAAAAGCTAAAATGCATAAGGATGCAAAGTGAAAAAGGCATGTTCCTGACATGCCAAGATAAAGAGATTCTGCCAAAAGACTTTGCTCTTCTGACACCAAATTGGGTATAACTAAAAACACAATTACCCTTACAGGAAACTACGACAACGAAGAAATAAACAAAATTTGACAGAATGCAGCTTGCCAAGTGTGAAATGTCAACATTATTCATGTCTTTTCGCAATCAGTTCATTGATCTGTGAAGAAAAGAAAAGTGCAAAATCGGTTCTCAGAAATTTGGTTGAGGAATTAAATGACAGACAAATAAGAAATTATAAACAAAGAAAAGAGACACTTATGTGTAGGCCATCTTTTGGGTGGGGGGTGGTGAAACCTGAGACAATTTCATTACAAATGAAGTGTGCTGTAAGCTTGGATATGTGGCTAGTGTAGTGGATAATAGCTTAGGATTGGAAATCAGAGAAAGTTCCAATTCCAGTCAGGTTCATTATGTACATTATTTACATTATTTGAAATATTGTCCTCATCTTTGTTGCCATATTTATTACAACATTTCGGCCCTTCAGTATCTGTCTATATTTCTGAGATGAGGTATTATGTACACTATTTACATTATCCAGACTATTGTCCTCATCTTTGTCGCTATATTTATTACAACGTTTCGGACCTTCAGTATCTGTCTATATTTCTGAGATGACGTATTATGTACACTATTTACATTATTCGGACTATTGTCCTCATCTTTGTTGTCATATTTATTACAACGTTTCGGACCTTCAGTATCTATCTATATTTCTGAGATGACGTATTATGTACACTATTTACATTATTCGGACTATTGTCCTCATTTTTGTCACTATATTTATCACAACATTTCGGCCTTTCAGTATCTGTCTATATTTCTGAGATGATGTATTATGTACACTATTTACATTATTCGGACTATTGTCCTCATCTTTGTCGTCATATTTATTACAACATTTCGGCCATTGTATGCTCCGGTCTTCTTCAGGTGGTTGGAATGTCGAACTGAACCCTTTATTTCGCTCATTGGGGTAGACTGTTCTAGTTCCATGTGCCATGTTTAATGGATGTCAGTTATCTTCTGTTAATTCCCCTCTCTAATTTCTCCACTGCCTTAACCGGGTATTGAACTCACACTCTAGTGTAGCAGCCAATTGTTAGATTAAGCTTTGGACCATTGTATCTCAGAAATGATGAAATATATCCTCAGCAATATTCATTATTTTAAAAAGCAATGATTAGAATTGCAATAAAACCTAAACATATTATGAAAGTGAATTTATACATTTTCTTGTTCTTGAGAATTGATAACAAAAATAATAAACACTATTTATTGATTAGATTTTTATTTACAAGAATAATTTTATATTCTCAGCATTCTAAAAACTAATATAATTCAAATTAATGCAATGAAATATTTAATATGTTATATTTTCCATGTGAGTTCATTTCAAACATCCTCATCACCACTGTTATATTTCATGCTAAGGGAATAAACACATAACACGAGGTGGATACTAGAAGAAGGTTTATTGTACACGGCAAGTACAATATGAAATACGGTATAGTTATACACATAGGTCAATCTATTAGTGAGTGTCGCTAATTGGAAGGTCGGATGTGCTTGCGTCATCTCGCACACATGCTCCTCTCTCACTCTTGTCTAGTCTTTCATAGATGGGTAACTTTATAGGTACTTACTACCTATAGTGTAGTCATTCATTGGTGGGGACTGGTTATTCCATTACATCATAATATTTGCCAGTTTAAAAAGAAATAAATATGAAAAGATTTTTTTATTCCTAAATTTATAAACATTTATTAAATTATTAAAATATGTGAACCAACTTTAAGGAAATCCTTATTATTTACCATTTTATAAAGTTTGAATTGATTGGTAATTAACCAATGTTTTTACCAACCATTTCAGTAAATAATATAATAAATAAATAGTGGAGGAAAAAATATAACACAGTGGGAACAGTTTTTTGTGATGCATGTGCAGTCGCAGTAATGTAAACAAATTTAGTCTGATGAAGTCCTAAAGGATGAAATGTGTCACAGGAAAACTTTTTCCACTTCATCATACATTTTTCCTTTCTCTCTCTCCATATATATATATAAAAGAATATAAATGAAATCAGGGTTTGGTGTCTTGTGACATGCTCACAAAACTATGTAGTAAGCATGACTGAACCAACACCACTCAGCTAAGTGATAAACTTTTCCAAATTAATTCTATTAAAGATCTATCTTAACTTTTGATATCAAGCACTTTGACAAAAACCTGCCTTCCCAAAAGGCTTACCCACCCGGAAAAAGAACCAGCAATTCTAGCACTTAACACTACAATATATATTACTATACCATACCATACTATAATGATATATATTTTTATGTATCAAGAACAATATTGGGGAAAAATGTATGACAAAGTAAAAAAAAAGTTTGCTTGTCATGTGTTTCATCATTTAAGTCTTCAGGTTGATAAACTGTAAAAAATAAATCAATAATCCCTGTTGAAGATGCCTACTCAGACACTTTCATATTTCTTTAACAGAGCCAGCCAGTCATTTAGCACTTCAGTTTAGTTTCATTATGGGGAAATTACAGAGAAATTCTGAACTGAACCCTTTATTTAATCACCAGGGTTAGATTGTTCTCATTTCACTGCTTATGTCTAAGGTTAATTTCTAGTTCTTATTTTATTTAGTAGTGTTCAGTTATTGCCCACCCATTTCCACTGATTGATTGAACTCACAACCACTAGACATGAGTAGTGGACCAAGAACAGTCTAACCCCCATAGAATAAATAATGGGTTTATTTCAGAATTCCCTGTAGGTTACACGGTTAGACATAACCTGATGAAGGCCAGAAAGGGATACAATGGTCGAAATGTTATGATAAAAACAGAAAGAATAGTCTGCATGTAAATAATAATAACTCTACATCCCCAAAATTTGGACAGAAATGATAGAATTATTATGCACACACACACACAAAAATATATATGATAAAAATATAATTTTAGGATAAAGTATATTTAAGGGATTAATTTAATGAATTTTTAGTTTCTTTATATTTTGTGTTTTTTTTTGTGTGTGGGTGCAGGGACATGCTAATATGGAAAGAGGCATATAAATATTTTTTTCAAATTTCTTAATGTCAATTTTTTTTCCACCCTTTTAACTGAAACCTTGCATTTTCAATAAATCAAATTTGTTTGCAACATTTCTCCTTTATTTGAAAATTACAAACACAAATTACATCCGTTAATGAACAGGGTATAAGTCAACGAGGAGAGTAAGGGCACACTTCCATAGCAAATCTGTAAATTATTCAGTCCTTAATGGAACCTGAGAAGTGGTGGGATAGGATAAAAAGGAAGAAGTTAAAGTAAATGGGTGGGATTATCTGGTAACTGAAGCAAGACTTTCCCGCTTCTTGTTTGCAATGTTAAATTAAAAAAAAAAAATATATTAATGAGCAATAAGTCATATTTTGCCCACTTGCTAAAAAATTTACACTGCACCCTCCAATTAAAAAAGTTACATTGTACCTCCACATCCCAAAATCACATTCTGTTCTTCCTCCACCAAAAGGCCAAACTATTTATTTCACGTTGGCAAAATGTCATATTGCGACCTCAGCAATGTTATTGCATCTCTTGCTAAAAAATATCAAATTCTGCTACTCCAATAAAAAAAATCTCTTATTTTTCCTCCTGCCAATGCATTTACAAACAAATACCCCTCAGCTATGGATTAAATAGTAGGACCTGTATCTGAAAAAATCATTATTATCCTCCAAAAAGAAAAAATTGTTAATGTAATATTTACTTGTAAAAAAAAGAATTGTTCTTAAAATCTAAAATATATTTTGACTTTAAATAATAAGACAGAATGGGTTGATAAACCATAAAAATTAATCACTTAATCAATCCATCTGTCAGGAAACTTGTTGTGCATCCTCACCAAAATAAATTTAGGATTGGAACCTTTCCTGCTCAAAAAGTAACATTATGACTCCATTAAAATGTCACATTGTACCCCACCAGAAAGGTTATAATGTGATCCCCATGAAAGCTAAGTCACACTATACACCACGGACCAGGAGTTAAATCTCCAACAAAAAAAGCACAATCTGATTCTGATTTTGCCCACTCTTGTAATTAGTTTCTGGTTTTTACACAAATATTTTTAAGGTTTTGGGGGATAGTAATTAAGTTGAATTTAGTATGGCAAAAAGTTACACTAATGGAGTAACCAGAGAGGGGGGCGATGATCACCTTTGTGAATTGATCTTTGAGATAAAATGGATTACACTCAGGATTCTAATAATCGAATCTCCCCTTTTGCTTGTTAGCTTTATAAAGAAAATTTTAACACCCCATTCTTATTGCAACCCCTAGAAACTTCCTAGAAAAAAAATCTCATTTCTAAGAAAATGATAATTTAGAATTGCAAAACAGATTCAATACAGATTCTAAAAACATCATTCAAATCATAATTCATTCAATTCTATGATTAAAATAGGATATAGAATCCTGACAAAGTCTTTAAGAAATTTGACAAATGGAAGATGTTTCATTAAAACTAGATTTAATTACATGTTTCGCATTTCTAGGCTTCATCAGATCCAAAAACAAAAAGAAAGAAATGTATGTATGCTTAAATAATGAATCTTCATACTTTCGACATGAACTAAGAATTATAAAGAAAAGATTCAGAATAAATATTAACTGATTTTTAAAAAGTCACTCATTTTCTTTCTTCTTTAATCATGTGAAACACCAGCTTAGGGAAATTGTTTCCATTTGTCAAATTTCTTAAAAACTTTGTCAGGATTCTAGATCTTATTTTAAAAACATATATTGTCGACATGGAAAACATATGGACAGACCTAAAAACATAAATCTTTTATTTGCAACACATTCTGAAAGATTGTATGAGGATTTATCTTAGATTAATTTCAGAAAAAGGCTATATGAATTTCTTATTTTCAGGCCATTCTGAAAATGAGTTAAGGATTAGCTTTAATCCGATACAAAAACAGCTGGGTAAAATATATTAACAACTTTCGACATGAATTGATAATTATAAAGAAAAAATACTGAATAAATATTTATGACTTTTTTTTTAAAAAATCACTCATTTTCTTCTTTAATCATGAAAAAATGGCAGCTTAGGGAAAAAGTATGAAGATTCATTATTTAAGTATACACACAAATACATATTTCTTTCTTTTCGTTTTTGGATCTGATGAAGCCTAAAATGGCAAAACATGTAATCACATCTATTTTCCATTTGTCGAATTTCTTAAATTCAATTCTATAAATTCATTGAAATCATAACAAATCAAAATTATATTTTATTCATGTAACATGCCACATTCCCTCATTATTTAAAAAATAATTCAAAAAATATGCCTGAGAAAAAAAAAACAAAACAAAACACTGAGATGTTGTTTTTATGAGCAATAACACAGAATTGAATATGAATAAGAAATAAAGTTGAAAACATTGGGATGCTAAGTGAAAAATATACAAAGCTCCAATGTTCCCATCATAATACTCAGTCTGATAAGGGTTTACCAGACATCTGAATCACAGCCAAATATGCATGATATGGTGACTGATTTTGATCAGAGAGGTGCTTAACCTTGCAGGTGGGATCCAGTTAGAAATACATACAAAAATGGTCAATAGAGAGTGTTTGCAAGATATGACTCCCAAGTCACTTTGGCTGCGGCATTTATAAAACGTAAAAAAAATCTTTCTTGACATCCAGCCATGATACCCTTCTCCTACTCCCACTCATGAACAGAGAGTGTGTCAGCTCATCGATGACGTGCTTATATAGTTTATCTATTTTCAGGAAAACTTCAAAGAAAAAATTTAAATTCTAAGAAAATTCTAGTGAAACTACTCTGATATAGATTTAAAAACTTCATTTTGATCATAATTCATAATTTTGATCATAATTCATAATTTTGATAATAATTCATCATAATTTTGATCATAATTCATAATTTTGATGATAATTCATTCAATTTTAAAAATTAATACAAATTATAAATTAAAAACACTTTAGTTGAGCAATGTTTTATCATTTCTCATTATTTTAAAAATAATTTAAATGTTCTGGCTGAGAAAAAAACACAAAACATTTGAAGTGTAAATATTCTATTGAAGAAAATGAAACACTAGCAGCTGTTAGAGAGAAATATAAAATTG